TATGAATTTTCCACAATGACTTTTTGAGATCTATTGGTAAGAAAAGCCTGTATCCATCCTATTACTTTCTCATCTAAGCTGTACATTTTGAGTTTGTTTATGAGATGCTTATGTGGCACCTTATCGAAAGCCTTGCTAAAGTCAATGAAAACAAGATCTATACTGTTTCTTTTATCAATTGAAGGCATGGTGTCTTGGCAAAGCATTATCAACTGAGACTCGCAAGACAAATTGTTTTCTAAATCCATGCTGACTCTCTGAAAAGAGGTTTAAGTCTTCTAGGTAGGTTACAATTGAGGATCCTAATATTCTTTCCATCATCTTGCAGCAAATGCATGTTAGCGAAATAGGACGATAGTTTTCTGCTTGGTTTGCATTACCCCCTTTAAAAACGGGATGAACCAGAGCTTGACGCCAGTCATTTGGTATATCTCCTATATTTAGAGACTGTTTAAATATAAATGTTAGGAACATAGCAGCTACCTTAGCACAGCGTTTAAGAATGGTTCCACAAATACCATCAGGTCCACATGCTTTGTGGATTTTAATATTTTCCAGGAGACCTAAAACACCCTGATAATCAATAGTCACTGGTTGCATTTCTTCGTTTGTGCGACTGCTCGCTAGATTTGGAGTGACTGTCCCGTTTTCAGTAACAAAACCTTTTTGTATTGGCTGTTCAAGACATTTGCTATGTCTTGTGGTTGGTGTACAATGGAACCACTTTTCGTGACCATTCGTGACCTAAGATGACCTCAGGGCATAAACAAGGGTCATGGACACCATTTTCAAGTTCAGTGTGTCTAAACCACTTGTAATTCGGTGTTTGGGAGTGTTTATAATGTCTTTCGTCCAAAAGAGGCGCATTTCAATTTTCTCCCATTGACTTATAATGGGGAGGTCGCAAAATTGACCTGACCTTAGGTCATCGATATCAAAATTCTGAGATATACATTTTGTACATGCTATTGCTCTTAGTAATCGCTGAAAGTTTCAAAGCGATCGGTCACTCGGTGTAGCTATGACAGACATTGAAACTTTTTATGAGGTGAGTTCACTTCAAGTGACCTGGTGACCTGACCTTGAATGACCTTGGTCTGAAATTTTCACAACATGTGTAGAATTGATGTATGATAAGGTGTACCGTTTTTGAGATATTTGCAAAAAACCACAAGGGGGGTGTTCAAACACCCCCCCCCCCCCAGCAGGGCGCGGGTTAAGCCAGGAATATGGATGCTACGACTAAGCAGGTTGACTAAGCACTAAGCGTAAACAAAATATGAGCGTGCGTGCCTGGAATTTGCTACTAGCGGGGGTTGGACAAAACAAAAATTACAACAATGAGCGGCCCATTCTTCTTCTGATTTATACGCCTGCAATTGCATTGGCTTGCTTCAAGCTTATTCTCCGCCTTCTTGCTTTCCACATATTGTACCTACAGAATATCTTTTTTAACTTCTATCTCTTCAGGTTCGAACAAAAACTTCCCAATAATCATTGCTTGGTTTTCCTGCATAGGTCTTTGTAATAAAGTTGCTTTTCTCCTCTCTTCGTTGACACCAATGTCTGAATGCTGAAGAATTGTTGAACAGGGAACACATTTACCTAGCCTTTAAAAACCACAAATCCTACATTACTTACATAAACATTTTTCTATAGTACTTATATTATCTACTTTCATCTGGCTAAGGCTTTTTTACATTATATTCCATCTGTTAAACATAAAAATATGATGAGTTATAGTATAACAAGCTGATAATTATATCTGCCTTGTCAGCTTGGCCTACATCTGCATCATGTCTATCACAAAACATGACTGCTTTCCTGACATTTGCATTTGTTCCACTCACCAATTGACCACTTCTACCATCTGCTCGCTCTATGCACAGACATTGTCATAGGGTCTGTTCCAGTTGCACTTCCTAACAATAGACAATAACACCTCTTAACTCCTCCAAGATTGCTTCCCTGTTCCAGTGGCAGCTTTCGCTCCTACAAAGCCAAGAAGGGCCCTGCTCCAACCTCCTCTATCTTGCTCTTTGAGAAGTTTAGATGTGTTAGGAAGTGCGACTGGAACAGACCCATAGCAAAACAGTTTCATCTCCCTGAGTCTGTACTGTCTTTTTCCACTTTTCCAAAGGATCATCATTCATCAGCACAGAAGGGTGGGAAAGAGAAGACTGTTCAAATTCTGAAAAGCCAGAGCTGCAAAGGAGGTCAAAGATGCAGTGCAGTTGGCCCACTCAGTAGAGTTTCACTAGTGGTTCTGATGTGGACTGGAGATTACACGCTGGGTTGAAGTGGCCGGTCTGGAGCAGCTGTAGTTCATCATTCGTGCTGATTGTGGACGAGTAAGAGCCCGCGTTGGCCCCGATCGGCGATCGCTGGCCAAAGCCCACCACCAGGTTGGTGATAGGCGTTGGCTGTGGTATCTAGTGTCGCCTATGTGTGAAAAGGACAAGTTGATAACAAAACCTGTTGCGCCATGTCATTAACCCGCGCCCGGGTGGCCCTCAGCCAACTTGGTGGGGGGGGGGGGGAGGTGTATTCGGCCACACCAGGTTATCTTGGAATGTAGCAAAGCTGGAAAGACGCAGTAAAATCAATCTATAGATCGCTATTTTTCTTCAGAATCATACAGGTCATTTTTGATCAGGTCATCGCTGAGGTCACTGGAGGTCACCAAAAGTAAAATGATGACGAATTTTGGCCCCCGATTTTGACAACTTCACAAATTGGTTCATAACTCGGGAACCAAAGAAGCTACAGCGCCGCGGAAAAGCGAATTCGATAGCTCTTTCGAAAATCTTTCAGGTTCTCAGATTTGAGCTAAGGTCAACTAGGGTTAAGCCTCCAAAGGGCAAAAACTGAACAATCGGCTTGCTTCGGAAATCGTCTTTTCTTTTAAAACTTTTGATACCAACCTTTTATTACGTTGATTTTACCGGCACTGCGTTTCTCTCGTCTTGTTGACCTAACAAGGTCAACTTAATAAATTTGACCTCAGGTCAATGTCGCAGAAAATGCCATATTGCATGTCATCGATTCGTTACATTGAAATTGAGATTAACATCAGTAGCGGCGGAACATCTTCAATTAAGGGGGCATTGCCGACTTTTGGTCTCATTCTTTCCATGCAACGCCCATAGGGCTAATGTTAAAATGCCAAAATCAAAGGGGGCACGGTGCCCCGGTGACCTCCCCGTTCCGCCGCCTATGATTATGATGCTTTTAGCGCTCTGGCCACGTTCCATCTAAAATCGATGTACAAAAATAAACTGTTGGAGACGTTACATGACCTGAGATGACCTCAGGAGCATACGATAGATCCCGATGTTTGAGTGTTTTTGTTTCAAAAGCAGAACATTTCGAGTTCCTCATACTGAATGAAACTGGAGACGTCGCAAAGTTGACCTGACCCTAGGTCACCGATATCAAAATTACAGATATTCAAGATGTTGGTACTGATTCTGTCATGCAATAGCTCGAGTTTCAAACTTCTACGTCATGGTGACCTGACCTGACCTTAGGTGACATGGGGTTACATTTTTTTTCACAAATGATGCGAATCGATGCATTATACATAAGCTCTAAGAAGTTTCGTGTCGTTTTATTTATGCAAGCACAAAATTGTCAGGTGTGGCCAAAAACGCCCCCACCCACCTGGGGGAACGTTAAAGCAGAGATGTATTTTTCGGTGTATTCCACGATGCATCGATCGGTGTACTTGATAATGCATTATTTATTGCTGCGTGTCTACGCTTTTGCTCTGTTCAGTGTGATCTGTGATAGGAAAACTACCGATATATCTCCACGCGCATGACTGAAAGAGCTGGCATGATCTATAATATTGGGTGTCTGTTTTTGTTTGGCATTTTATAAATACTGAGTCAGCTGTGATCGTTTGATGAGACACTGGGACAGCCGGCCTGTATGATCAGCGAACGGCAGGCGGCGGGGCGGTGGTCTGGTGGCTGCTGCATGGGACTGACACCAGCAGATTCAGAGCTGCGATACGCGGACTTTATGTTCACAATACCTTTCCAAAATAATATCTAATAGATATCATGTCCTCGAAAATGTTCTTCAATCAATATGATTTTACCTCCTGGCTTATTCCATGGGGGCCAAACCGATCGTTTTATGCATGCCTTTTCTGGGCCTCATTCTCCCCTAAATGCGTGTAGGTAGCAATTTTATTCAATGGACGACTGAAAGTGCCTCCGATTGGTTTTCAGTGTAGGTGGGATATGGCCGTTGAATGTGAGGCAGTCGATAAGAAACGTCGAGCTGGAACGGTCATTGGGTAGGTATGTGAAAGGCAGCAGTAGAAAACAAGAAAGGGAGGCGTTTGGTGTGAGGTTTCAAATGCTCTATGCATAAGAAAAGTTCATTTGATTATATGACACCGTCCTTTTTATCGCGATACGTGAGCAACGCATGAGACGCTCACTGTTCAGACTTGTAGCGTTAGAGAATGGGCCAACAGGCTGAGAAGGGCTATTTCTGCGAAAGGATATTCTGGAATTTGAATTGAAAGTCATTTAGTTTTGAAAGCATCCGTACTTCTTAACAAGATACTGACTCATTTAAAATTTCAATTTTTCCCCATTGCGATAACGATAAGAAACCGAGACTGCGGTGTCCCCGTGCGCAGGATTCTGGAGACTGTCGGGCGGATGTTAGTGGCTAAAAACTTTTGTTCTTTATTTAATAGAGAACAATCATTTCTTTTAATACTTTGTAACACCTAACTCACTAGAAACAATCCGTACGGGCTTCCAAAAATCTTATATTTAACATGTTAGATACATTACAATATTTTAGCTGCCCTAACTTGTAAATGTAACGTATGCGTCATTATTGAAAAAGTGCTAAAGCATAGTATTCTATTGCTGACAAATATTCTGCGTCAGCCAAAACTGGCCAATCAGAAGCTTTGTTTGTCATTTCTGGGTGGGATTAATAAACATGCCACCGGCGCGGTGCCACGGTCGTACCTGGGCGTACTCCGAGTTGGCCATGCTGACGCCCGGCTGGGGCTGGGAGCGTCGGGGCTCGGGCCGACTGCTCAGGTTGAGCTTGTCCAGCGTGTCGACAACACTCGAGTACTGCGTCAGGTTCAGCTTGCCCGGCTGCCGGACGGAGATATGTCAGATCAGCTCGGCGCTCCCAGAGGCGGGGCGGGGTGAGTAGTAAAGGAATCTTGGGGCGGGGTTAGGCCACACTGTAAACCAAATTGACAAGTCTTGTGTAATACAGTGGAATCCGCTTACTAAATCCTCGGATAATAAGTCCAGCCGCTTATCGTGGCCGCTTGAGCTGTTCCCGGATTTTCTCGATAGATACCATAGTTAATAAATCCGCTTAATAAATCCACGCACTCCGCTTAATGAGCCACTTCGGAGTTTCGAAGTCTGCAGTGACGTCTCCCCACTCGAAATGTGGCATCCAACCCGCTCCCAAAGAACCGCTCTGGAGCAGCGGTCTGCAGCAGTTGAGGTCTAAAAACACAAGGGGTTCAGGGCTTTCAAGAGCGCAATCACCATGCACAAAAAAAAAAATGTTCCCGGCAAAGCAGGCACGCTCGGCTATTCCGTTGGCATGGCAGGGTTGACGGGAGCGATCGCGGATGGATTTGTTGACTTGATTGGTGTGGTAGCTGTGCAGTGTGCGCTGTTCACTTTCCGGGGCATTTTTACGGTCGCAGGTTTGAGGGATGTCCAGCCCTAAAAGGCTCGCCTTTATAAATTAGGCTGCATTACGAATGTCAAATTATTGGTGGTCCGGACCCGGCGACCCCACCGGTGGCGGAGGCCCTGGTCACTTTCATTGGAATAAGTAAGGCAATGAGGAATGTTAGCCAATACGCTTGCATTGCAGGGAACGGAACGTGCAACTGCAATACATGCTTTTCTAACGAAAATAACTGACTTCGGTTAACCCGCGCCCTGCTGGGGGGGGGGGGGAGTGTTTGACACCCCCCCCCTGTGCTTTTTCGCGGATATCTCAAAAACGGCGGCGCGGAACGCCGCCGTTTTTGGTACACCTTATCATACATCAATTCTACACATGTTGTGAAAATTTCAGACCAATGTCATTCAAGGTCAGGTCACCAGGTCACTTGAAGTGACCTCACCTCATAAAAAGTTTCAATGTCTGCCATAGCTACACCGAGTGACCGATCGCTTTGAAACTTTCAGCGATTACTAAGAGCAATAGCATGTACAAAATGTATATCTCATAATTTTGATATCGATGACCTAAGGTCAGGTCAATTTTGCGACCTCCCCGTTATAAGTCAATGGGAGAAAATTGAAATGCGCCTCTTTTGGACGAAAAGCATTATAAACACTCCCAAACACTGAATTACAAGTGGTTTAGGCGCACTGAACATGAAAATGGTGTCCGTGACCCCTGGTTATGCCCCTGAGGTCATCTTAGGTCACGAATGGTATCTAACAGTTTTTCGCAAATAACTTTTGATAGAGGCATGCTAGAGCGATGAAAACGCCTTAGATGTGTTCAGCTCGACGATACGGATCGACTGATATGCAACATGACCCTTTCCGGTCAGGTCATGACCTTGACCTGAGGTCAAATTTTCAAGTTGACCTTTCAAGGTCAAGTTATAGTTCATTCGATGCGTCTTGACGAGAGGAACACGATGCCGGTAAAAGTAAGCTCGTACAAGGTTTGGGTCAAAAGTTATTGCAGAAAAACTGTTTCCGAAAAAAATCGGCTATTTTTGCAGTTTTTACCCCCTGCAGGCAAAACCGTTGATGCTAGGTCAAATCTGAGAGAATTACTCAGAAAGAGCGTTAATAGGGCTATCGAATGCGCTTTTCCGCAGCGCTGTAGCTCTACTGGTTCCCGAGTTATGCGTTGGCTTCTTGGAAATTGTCGACATTCGACCTGGAAATCGGCGAATTTTTGCCTTCAATGACCTCTGGTGACCTGACCTTTGACCTGACCAAAAAATTGACCGAAGTGATTTCGTCATTATTTTTTACGTTCTTTCGAACGCCGCCTTCCGCGTATCGCTGCGTGGCCCAGGAGCCGAGTTAGAAGGGGGGGGGGTGTTTGAACACCCCCCCCCCCCAGCAGGGCGTGGAAATCCAGGACCCCCAGCAGGGCGCGGGTTAATAAAGCTACCGCTTAATAAATCCAAAACACCTTGTCACCAAGGTGGATTAACTAAGCGGATTCCACTGTATAACCTATCATCTCTGGGTATATTTACCAACTGATACTTTTTAAACAAGCCGTTGTCTGGTGCATTGCTTGTCAGGTGACAACTACGAGTCAATAGTTATTATGCACATTGCACACCAACTTCTCAGTATGCAGACCATCTCTACATGTTTCAACGTTTGTTTCTTAACCAGTTTTGGAAACTTGTTTCCGCATGGTTATTAAACCGGTGTCTAACTTGTACTGGTCAGCTGGTCAGCATACACATGGTCAGCTGCGCCTGACGTCAGACTTGGCGGACCAATCAGCGGTCGCCGCCCGCCGTTAGCGGGCCCCGGCGCGGCGGTTTCGAACCAGCAGTTGTTGCGCGACCGCCGTGCAGCCTGGAGCAGCGACGAGGGCTGTTCCAGCATTTGTGCAATAAAAAGTGAAATCTGTGAACTGCGGTGTTCGTGCTGTGAGTGAGGCCCCCTCTGACCCATGCGGGACACACTAATCTTGCCTTACCCGCGGCCGAGGCGCCTCCCTTCCCCTGCGCGCGCAATGTAAGTGGGCCAGACCTGTGCATGTTCATGTGAACAGATGTTTTGCGGTCGGCGAGGCGCCTCCCTTCCCCTGCGCGCGCAATGTAAGTGGGCCAGACCTGTGCATGTTCATGTGAACAGATGTTTTGCGGTCGGCGGTTTTATATATATATATATATATATATATATATATATATATATATATATATATATATATATATATATATATATATATATATATATATATATATATATATATATATATATATATATATATATATATATATATATATATATATATATATATATATATATATATATATATATGTATATATATATATATATATACATGAACATATATATATATATATATATATATATATATATATATATATATATATATATATATGTCTCCAGTCATATATATATATATATATATATATATATATATATATATATATATATATATATATATATATATATATATATATATATATATATATATATATATATATATATATATATATATACATTTATGTATTTGTAACTTAACTGATGGACATATATGGGCTATAAAAGCTGATCTGGTTGGGGCTCGTGATTTATTCGAATTATCTGCGTGATCGTGCAACTGCCATGATTGTTACGCTTAGTGTTCAGGAAATATTCGTCATACGGGCATGTTATGCTTCTGGCTTGATGCAGTGCACAAAACCATGTTCTTCCACATGCGCATCAGTTCTTGCTTCAAAGACTTATGCTGACGGTGCAAGATATACCTACTGGGGTTAGCTCACGCATTCACCACATCCATTCGAAAATATGCGCTCGGAATTGTCTCCAGTCAATAGTTTTAATTACGTGACCGTAATAAATACTAACGATTCCAGAAACTTCCGAATGAATGTGGTGTATGCATTCATTGATGATATAACCAGGGATGCGGAGCCGTGGAAATTTCAGACGGCTCCGGCTCCGGCTCCGGCTCCGGAGAAAAAATCGGCTCCGGCTCCGGCTCCGGGTGAAATGTTATGGCGGCTCCGGCTCCGGCTCCGGCTCCGAGTAAAATGGTCCGGCTCCGGCGGCTCCGGCTCCGACTAAGTACATCCCCTATGCAATCAATTTTAAATACGGGTGGAAGAAAAATTGGATTGGTTATACGCGTCACTCTTTGCCATGACCGGCTCACCGCGTCCCCGCGCAAACGCACCTCGGAGAGAACTGGCAGAACAAAGGACTAGGAAGCGATGGCATTGGAAGCGCAGTCGCCGCGAATCGGAGTTCACTGAACCATCGTAAGCTGACACTCGTCTCGGCTGCATTGGGGGGTGGGGTGGGGGGGGGGTGGCGTGGGAAGAGACGGTGCTGGGAGTCGCAGTCCACTGCACTGGCTTCAAAACAATGGCCGTCACCTGATGACCGGTACTCATGTTCTGGGGATGCAGTAGACGTGGGGGGAGGGGGGGAGGAGCAGACAGGAAGTTGATTGCGTACTGTGGGATACTGGGGACATTCGGCTTTTTTCATTCACTTGATGGCCCATGACGTACTTACCATATGTTTTACTGCCTTGTACTGTCAAACCGAACTAGGTCAATTTTTTTCCTCTTCAAAAAATAAAAACGAGCCGGAGTCGCCCCTTTTTTGGCGGCTCCGGCTCCGGCTCCGGCTCCGGGCTATATTGTTTCACGGCTCCGGCTCCGGCTCCGGGCAAAATATGCCGGCTCCGGCGGCTCCGGCTCCGACTCCGGCTCCGCATCCCTGGATATAACCCATCAGTATTTCGTTTCTCGTCAGCGCAAGCCTTTGAGCAAGAACCGATGTCAGTCATGGTTTCGTGCACCGCTCCCAGCCAAAAATGTCCGTAAATAAAATATTTCCTGAATCAGTATCGTGGTAATTGAAAACGAACGCGAATCGTTACTTCTTAAGGTTATCAACGCAAAGAAAGCGATTGTAAGGAAGAATAAGTTCGAACAGAGCGTTAGTACACCTACTTGTTGACAATTTGTAAGCTAGCAATGCCCATTCAAAGGCTAGTTCATCAACAAACCAGGGGTAAGTGAACCGACAAGGAAACGCCTATGCCTATCCAGAAGTTGGTAGGTCCACAAGGCAAGGCGAATCGGGCGCTGACCGTCGAGGAGGGTGTCAAGGAATGCTACCCGATCAGCCTCGAGCCCTAGCTCGGAAGGGCACGACGGGCAGTAGTCTGTCTAACCTTCGGCTAGCGGGGCACGGGACCAGTGGCTCGATTGTTCCGGCCCAGGGAGTCATAGCTCTGGGCAGTGGCGTAGCCAGAAATCAGCGAAGGGGGGGGGGCATGGTGCTCGAGGGGGCGACTTTTTCCCTTGAGAAGGGCACCATTGTCAGCTCGCGACAGGGGCGTCAGTCTAAAATGTAACGTCATGTGCATG